ACCAAGTGAAGAGAAAAGAGGTGGGGAAAATAATCATTGAAGGGCGGCCGCGCGGAAAACCGGTCCACAGAAGCGGGCCCACGCAGCGGCGGTCGCTGCGGCCTGAACCCAAAACCGACGGACTTGCATACATGAATGTCGAACGTCCCGCCCAGCGTGTGTGAAGTATGACTGGGCGGCGCCCCGGTCCCGAACCCCCTCCCCCCGCACGGCGCGTCACTCCCCGCAGCCGAGCGGGCACCCGCTGGCGAGGTGCGGCGGCATAAAAAAAAAGAAAAGACACCAACCACCACGCGCCGCCGCGCCCGAAGCCGGCCAGGAGGAGCCCACCCCGAAGCGAAACCTGTGAAACTGCAGACGCGAAAGCATTTGAATTAGAGAAGTGAAAAAAAAAAAACAAAGAAACAATCCTTTGTTCTTCGTCTCCTTCCCACAGGCTTCCGGCAAAAACGCAACAGAGTACCAAGAAACGTCATGACCCACACTTATCTACATCGTACATCGCAAAGAAGGTTTAACTTTTACACAAGATACTAGTCCCCGCGCCCCGAGCTCGCCACAATTTGATATTGGCAATGGTGCTCCCTAGTACGGCACAAAAGGCGTTTGTGAGCACCGCAACTCTGCCGCCCACTCTGCCAAGGAGCGGCGGCCACGCAGAGCCTTCTCCAAGCCCTGGTCCGCAGCGGCAGTCGCCTTGTAAGCCTGCTCAGAATTCGCAGCATCGTCCCCATCGAGCTTGACAGGCGCCTTGTAAGCCTGCTCAGAACTCACATCATCGCCCCCACCGAGCTTGACAGGCGCCTTGTAAGCCTGCTCAGAACTCACATCATCGCCCCCACCGAGCTTGGCAGGCGCCTTGTGAGCCTGCTCAGAACTCACATCATCGCCTCCATCGAGCTTGGCAGGCGCCTCGTGAGCCTGCTCAGAACTCACATCATCGCCCCCACCGAGCTTGGCAAGCGCCTTGTAAGCCTGCTCAGAACTCACATCATCGCCCCCATCGAGCTTGGCAAAAGCAAAGGAAAATGGGTTTGCTTCCCTGTTAGGAGACCCTGAAAAAGACACTTCATGCTCTTTCAGTCTTATGCTTGCCGAAGGGGCTCTGGCAGGCGGCTGCTCCCGCGCGTCGCCTAGGCTAGAGAAAGCAGCCCATCCTTCGATGGGCGGCGTCGTGGAGCGCCGCTGCGACGACCTTGAGCTGCGCGACCGCAGCCAAGTGAAAACGCTGGTCCGCGACCTCCAGCGGTCCGCGTCCCACCCGACGGCGCTTTTGAACCCCTCCCCGGGCGCCGCGGCGCCTGCGCCCCCCTCTGCGGCGGTGGCGTCTGGCCGGCCCGCCGTCCTCGCCCGGTGGCTCCGCTCCAGCCCCTCCCGCCAGAGACGCGTGACGCCGTTTTCCTCCTCGCGGCGCACGATCGGAAGGTCCCCGCCCCGCGCCAGCGCCACATCGCTCGCGTAGTTCATCAGCTTGGCGTCCAGCGCGGTGATGTTCTTCCAAGCGGGCTTCTTCTCCCGCCGCCGCAGCGGCTGGGTCCAGGCCCAGGCGAAGTCGTCCGCGGCGTTCAGCGTGAGGTTACCCTGCGCGTAGTTTTTCGACGCCTCCTCTAGTGACGGGAGCAGCGTGCCTGAGTTCAGCGTGTCCATGAGCGTCGGCACCTTGTGCTCCCGCCAGAGCAGCGGCTTCAGTGCGGCGGTGCGAGCCTCCACGCAGTCGGTCCTCCGCTCCGCCAGCCTCACACCGCACCCGGTGCGGAGCAGGTTGGCCCCTGCGAAAGGCTCCGCGCGCCTGAAGCGCCTCAGCTGTCGCACGCGGTTCTTGTGCTCCTGCTCGTGCCACTGGTCCAGCTGCTTCGCCGTCGCCACCGATGGCCTCGCCTCGATCAGGTGCTGCATGACGATGAGGTTCTGCCGCCGCTTGGCCACCTCCTGCCTCGCACGATCCCGCCGCCGCACCTGCGCCTGCTCCTCCACGCGGTACCACCGCCGCAGCTCATCCTCCGTTGGGCGGTTGTTCATCCCCCGCCGCTCCCGGTACTCGGCGTCGTTCACGTCGAGAAGGCGCCCGAGCAGGTTTTTGTTGCCCCGCACGACCCGCTGCTCCTCGTCCACGACACGGCGCTGCAGCCGCGTCATCACCGCGCACGCCTTCGACTGTTCCCGGTCCATCAACTCCGGGTGGCGAAAGTCCACCTCGGGCGCGTCGGTGATGCCTTTGCCGGGCCGCAGCCGCGCCTCCGCCAGGCGGTGGGCGTGCCACAGGTGCGACGCCCCCGCATCCCTCTCGCTGTAGTCCAGGTAGTGCCGCTGCTGAAAGAGGCGGTACTGCGGACTCACCGGCATGCCGGGCGGGGCGTGTCGAGTGAGACGCAGCAAGACGCTAAAGCAATCCCGCGTGGCCACTCTAGGCTGAAGCGCGGCACGGTAGCGGCGGCAGTGTGGGAGGAGCCACAGAAGAAGAGAAAGAAAGAAAAAAAGGCAAGTCAAAACAGGAGCAGCAGATTAAAGGGGTGCAGGAAAAAAGGAACTTCGCTGAAGCGCCCAAGCGAAACGCAAAAAACGGCAATAACAGCAAAAAAAAAATGAAAAGTAAAAAAATAATAATAATAATACCAAAAAGGCGTCACGCGCCGCCCGGCCCAGCACACAAAATGTCGCTCGTATCAGGACTCGTACTACACCCGCATTACGCCGGACAGTGCGCATGGTACATGTCCGGCTGGTGTCACCACGCCGTCGACGGGGGAATCCCAAGCCCCGCCCGCTGACAGCTCCTGCGTGCGGACAGGCACCTCTGCCCCCCCCGACAGAAGCTGCTGCTCCACGCCGACGCCCCACGACACCACCGCACCCTCCGCCACCTCCCGGCTATAACGGAGGAATCGGTCGTAGTATCCTCCACCTTTGCCCATTCGGTTGCCGAAGTGGTCAAATGCAACGCCAGGCGTTAACACCAGAGTCCAGGCAGCGTGTTCCAAGCTGCGTGACGGCTGCTTCAAGTCTATCAAGCTTGCCGGCCTCGCACACTGTGGAAACAACACCTCGTACTTGTCACAAGCGATGAAGTGACGCCGGCGACCACCATTGCCGCCGCTGGCGCCCGTGTCGGTGTTGAAAAGCGCCTCCATAACCTCTTCCTTTGGCTCCTTCAAATGGTACCGACCACGTCGCTCGAAGGAAATATCCAAGTCCGCCTCATCAAAGACTTCCAGAAACAACATGGCACTCGCAAAGCGCGTCCCAGCGGTATGTCGCGGCCGCTGCCAAGGAGGAATAGAAGCGGCAGCGGCGCCATTGGGAACCCCCGACGGTGAAAGCACCATTGGGACAAATGTCTTGACGCGCGGCAGGCCCTCGCGCTGAGGCTCCCCCCAAAAGAGGCGGAACAGGGCTGTTAAATCCACCTCGTAGGAGAGAGGCAGGTATCCGCAGAGAAGCAGCGAGGGGGTTCCCGGTCGCGAGAGCCGCAGTGCTTGGATGCGTTCGTGCAATTGTTGGCACAGATTTTTAGAATGCTTCCGCATAGCTGCGGGGTCTCTTTTCGCCAGCGCCCGCAGCTGTTGCAGATGCTCTCGCCGAAACTTCGCCTTCATTTCCACAACCTTCATCGCGTGCATCGCCGACCCACCCCCTCTCTCTCTATCACTCTAGTGGGTTCTATGTATATGTGTATGTATGAGTCTACTTATAGGAGAGGAGTACGTATGTGCTTCAGCAGCAGGCCCTCAGCAAAGTGGATGATAAAAACAAACAAACAGAAAAGGGCTAGGGTGAGGTGCCGGCAAACGCACACACACGAAGTGCCGTTAACAGCAACGAATTCAAGCCCCCGCAAAGGAAAAAAAAAAGTAAAGATGCCGCCGTAACCATTTCTAGCTCACCTCCCACGGAGGCAAGAGCACACGCCTCATACATATCTCCCTCTCTACCGCTCGCCTTCTCCCTCTGTCGTCATACATATATATGAAATTCCTCTCTGTGTTTTTCCTTTTTGTTTGCTTTTATTCCTTTCGTCGTTTTTTTTTGTTCCTTGCTTTCGTTATTGCCTCCGTCACTCGGCGTGCGTCCGGCAGCCGACCCCTCAACCCGCCAGAAGCTCAAAGTGAGACATGAGCGTTTCTGCCTCCTCACGCATCTGCGCCCCCGTACGGCACGGTTGCCGCTGCTGCACCTCCTCCTCCTCCGGCTCCCCCGCAAGCTTCCCACGCGGGTCGAAGGGTATGACGTGCGTGTGCAGGTGCGCCACCGTCTGCCCCGCGAGCCTCCCCTGCTGAATGGCGATGCTGAAGCCGCCCTCCACGTCGCCCGCGTGAGACGCAGAGGCGTCGCTGTGCACGGCTGCCACGCGCTTCAACACCCGCAGTGTGAGGTGCATGACGCGGCCCCAGTCCTCCACCTCCTCCCGCGTCAGCGCGTGGATCGTCGCGACGCAGCGGACGGGGACCACCATCAGGTGGTGGCGCACTATGGGCTTGTGGTTCACCATGACGACGAAGTACCGCGAGCGGAACGGGATGCAGTCCGAGACCACGACGGAGTGCGGAAAAAAGGTGAAGATGCCCCTGTCCGCATCCCTACGCTGGCGCTCAAAAGCAAGTTCGGCAGAAGTGGCATCGGCTGGAAATAGCCGCGTATTTTGTGCCGTCTTTTCCACAGCAAGGGCCGTGCCCGCCAGCGGATCCCCCGCCCCTGCGTCTCCAGCGCCCTCCTCCTCCACGTTTGCCTCCTCCGTCCCCACTTGCTGCTGCAGGCGGCGCAGCCAAGAGGCAAAATCCACCGCACCCGTGTCAGCGCCTGCGGCGGCAGCCGGCAACACCACGTATCTCCGCTGCAGCTCGTGGTAGATCATGTTGTTTGGGACAAAGTCGCCCGCGGTTCGCTCCACAATGTGCATAAACGCCAAATTCACTACCTCCGCAGTCGAGTCCGCTTCGGCCGCTTCGGCGGCGGCCGCGTCTCCTGGGGAGGAGTAACTGAAGCTACCGTGCGGCGAGGTCAGGCGGCGGCAGTGCCGCAGCAGCGCGCTCCAGTCCCCGGGGAGCAGGTGATCGGGGCGGAACCTCGCCGCGGCGTGTGAGGGAGGAGGCGTCGAGGCAGTGGAGCCGTGACGCCCGCTTGCCTGTCCCTGGGCGCGGCAGAAGCACTGGTAGCTCTCGCTGTTGGCCCCGGCGGCGACAATCCAGTGCCGACAAGAACCGCGGCAGAGGGCGAGGTTTGGTGGCAGCTGAGCAGCCCGCATGCCACTCGCCATGACGGCCCACAGCCAACGCAAGACGCTGCCCCAGGCGTATATACACATATGCATATATATATATGGATGCATACATACACATATGCATATATATA